TCAAAGAAACCAGCTCTTTCTCACCACTTCTCTTGGCTAGAATCTGAATGGGTCATTTTTTTTTATGGAGCATTGTTACAATAATATATTATAAGCAAGTTCATAATTATTTATATGTGCACCTTTTTATAGAATACTATAATTAAAATTCTATTTAAATTTATGAACAAAATTCTGTTGTATATGTATCATTAATATATTGAAATTGCTTTTAGTGTTATATTAATTTTTTTTGGTTATATATGCCCACCCATATATTTCCTTGTATTTTTAGCAAATTATCTGTTAAAACTGAACTTCGTAAGAGGATGGAAAGAAAATTGACAAGAAGCCTAAGACTTTACATAAAATTTATTTTATATTTTTATAACCATACCACTGCTTTAAATTATATTAATATTTTGCTTTTTCATCTATTTGAAAGATGTTAACTATGCATACTGCTAACCATTATTAAATTGGATTTAAGAAACCAACTCTCATTCACCACTTCTCTTGGTTGGGGTGGGTTATTTTTTTATGGAGCCTTGGGGGTAGGTTATTTTGTTTTTATGGAGCCTTGGGGGTGGATTTTATTTTTATGGAGCCTTGTTAAATAATATATAAGCGACTTTATAAATATTTATTGCTGCGATCCTTTTTATAGAATACTATACAGTAATTAATATTCTATTTAAATATATGATAAAATTTTGTTATATATGTATCATTATTATATCTATATTGCTTTAATTCTTATAATTTTTTTGTTATGATATTCATCTGATTTATCTCATGTATTTTAGTTTAATATTATAAAACAATGAATGCCTGCTGTGGAGGCAGGACTTGTTCTCATGATTGAAAAAAAAAACTCTACCCCGTAGCCTCATAGAGACACTTTTATAAAACATAATCCATTTTGTAGTTACATGCTATGGATTTGAATGAAATAAAATTAAATAAATAAAATTAAAGTATGTTTATTACTTTGAACCTGATTCTAGATTTGGCATTATAAAGTTACAACTCTTAAATAAACTAGAACAATCTTGGATATCTACCTTCAAATGTATTAGGATTATGGATGCTATAATTGCATGTAAGAAAAGCAGACAGCTAATGAAATAACTCATCTTTTAAATATACTTATCTAAAATTTAATGGCAACATAAACACAAAATCTAGGACTGAATAATCACCTGTCCAGACTTTACAATAAATTTATTTCGACAAGACTGCATGTAAAAACCGAAATTGAAATGAGAAAATTTCGTACAGCAGACTAAAAGGATGTCACAGAACGGAACGTGATATATCATTGTAAAAGATGGGTTTGGGGCTTGCAATGGGGATTACAAACCATTGTATGCAAGCAATATAGTTAAACCTTAGTAAAGGAGATACGATGTAGTGGTCATGGTACCTGCCTTTAAATTTTAAGTCAAGGTTTCAATTCCTAAATATTTATTTTTTTAAGCCCATTCATTATCCCATAGTGAATCTATATTCAATAACATTTGCAGTAAACCACTAGACTGGAATTTTTTTAGGAAAAAATGGATAAAGAGGGAAAAATATGAAGAGGGAGAAGAGACTTTGGATAGAAGATTGAAAATGAAAGGAAATGGGAGAGAAGGTAAAGAAAATGAAAGGAGCAGGAAGCCAAAAGAGTGGTCAAATGTTAAGGCAAATGAAAAAAAAACTAAACTGGAGAGAAGAAAAAGGGAAAAACGAAAAGTGGAAAATAGGACTAAGGAAAAGGAAAATAATAGAGGAAAAAGATGAGTATGCCATAAAGAAATAAAATTGCATTGTTTAAACATTAAAAATAACAATTT